AGTGTTTGGAAGATTTTTCGCACCTCCCAAGGCTTCTTCGAGTCCCTATTGTACAAGAAGAACTCTCATCTTCAAATGCCATAGCCCGAAGTCATTCTTGCCTGAGAATTTCTCAATGTCGAACTTTGCAGATCCCATCGCTGACGAAGCTCTAATACCAATTTGTTGTAAGAGCCCCTCAGAAATTCCCAGAACAATTCCACACACACAACAAATCAAAGAGAAAACGAAATTGAAAGAATCCCTCATCAAAGCTTTTATTCTCATTAATGGAAATCAAGAACGCATAACCTCTAGAGCTTCTCTTTTCTCTAGAGTTTCTCTCTCTATGTTCTCTCTTACACCGACCTCTCTATAGAAAAAGAAAACAGTTTAAGCTTAGTATATATCACAGATTTAGTTTTAACGGAATAATAAGACTCTAATCCTATTGGTTGATTCCAAAACTAATCTGTTTGCAGTATTATTCCTATATACTACTGTACACAGTAACCATGTAGTGCTGCCTACGTGTTTGCCCATGTGTCTTCACTTATTTTCCTTCCTCTGTTGAGCTGTTAAAATCCCAGTCAATTTTACAACAATTATGATAGTCAATTTAGTAACATTTAATATGTGGTTACATTGATGCTATGCTGTCAAAATGTTATGCTTGTGTTTAGCTTTGTTCTATTAATTGTTACATTTACTATGTTCTAAAGAGAGTGTCGTATTTTCTAATGACAGATTTAAAAGCGTCGAGCACCGGGTGCTTGCCAAGCACGTTGGACCAAGAGTATCTGTAGCATGCTTTTTCACGTTGCATCTCTACCCGACGACGAAGTTGTATGGCCCCATCAAGGAAATGTTGCCCGAGGATCATCCTCCGGTATACAGGGAGACGACGATTAAAGACTTCATTGCCTACTACGACGGAAAGGGACTCGATGGGAGATCTGCATTGACACATTTCAAGTTGCTTTAGTAACATTCGAAAAAATTAATTTCTAGCTAATCATGCCTCCCAATGTATGTGTTTTTTTTCGTTTCTGTATTTTTGTTAAGGTTTGCATGTAGTAAGTAGAGAAAATAACTCAAAGTTCAAAATCTTGTACTTTGAATAAATACGTTTGCAGTTATACTACAAATTAAAAACGATGTTTATAATATAGTGGAAGAAAAAAAAAAAAAAAAAAAGGACAGTACATTGCACGATTGTCAATTTTCATCAAGCTACTGGATTTAGACTCCTCTTTACTTGCTAAATCAACCCCTGAATGTGTTACAGTAACAATGATAATTTCATCGCCAACAATATTTACTGTTAATGGGCAATGCTGAAATACGTATATGATTAGGATCTAAATTACTCGGATGACGTACAAATCAGGAAAAAGGAAAGATAATTTTAAGCTACACCATATTATTATTATTTTCCCTCCATAGTTTGAACTACGCAAAACCCTTAAAACAAATACACCCTTAGTATCCTGAATCTTAAAGTTAGGGTCAGTTTGGTAGATGAGTTCAAACTAGAGTTTAAATCAAGGGTTTTGATTATCATTTTTAAAATTTAAATTTTTTATAAGAGAAAAACATTATAGTAGAATCAAAACCATAGATTTGAACCTATAAAAAACCCATATACTAAATGTTGGGGCCTGGTAGATTCAGTGGGTACGACGTATACAAGGTATACATGTGCAAGTACCGAATTCGGTGGTGTCAGTGCTGACATGGATGAAACACGCAACATTCACAGAAGAGCTTGTACGGTAGGACCTCCAACAGAGAAGATGGGATTGGTTAGGCCCAAAGTAAGCCAAAGAAAATGGATTCTAAGGCTTACTTTGTTGCCACCTTACCATGACGCCAACTTATGCACATAGGAGGACTTCTCATACAGTGATGGAGATTGTATCGACGAAGTATGGTGGGAGGAGTAACAGAACAGTTGATGGAGATTTGACTCAGAGATTGTGTATAAGGCTATTTAGAGGAATGCTCCGAGGACAAGCACGGTTTGCCTCTAGAGTGGTTGTTAAAGTGCGGATAAGCCTATTTAGAGGAATGATCCGAGGACAAGCACGGGTTGCCTCCGGAGCGGATGCCTGACTCGTAAAGTGACGATAAGGCCATTTAGAGGAATGCTCTGAGAACGAGCACGGGTTGCCTCCACAGCAGATGTCTGACTCATTTGGTATGGATAAGGCTATTTGAAAGAGTTAGCGAAGTCTCACTCGGGAGGAACGCAAGTCGTTCCGTGAGCAAGTTTTACGGACTTTCAACAGTGGAGGCAAAGTCCACTTCAGAGGAACACAAGTTGCTCCGAGATCTGTCAGCAGATGAATGACTTTCCAAATGTGTGCTCCGAAGCGATGGAGTCTGGCCATGGAGGCAGATTTTTGGACTCCCGGAGAAACTTCAGAAACTTCGTATAAAGCTTGTAGACGAGTTTGGATGGATCAAACAAAGTGTTTTGAGACTTTTTGATGATGAACACTCAAGATCTGGGCAGAGTCTCACTAAGTATTTCGAAGATCGTCGAGTCCGAAGAGCACAAGCTCGAAGAACACATAGCCTTAAAAGGCTTTCTCTTAGAGGAAGATATTTAGAGTTTTAGTAAGGAAGAGACCTTCTCAGATGGTCAAGAATGGCTTTAGTGTTGTTGTTCCTGAAGTGTTGCTAGAAGGGGGTATTTATAGGAGAAGTTTGGAAGATTTTGGCGGTTACTCCGATGTTGTAAAATCATGCCCTGACAGAGGCTTGAATGAACTTTTTCCCACTGGAGCAACTGCATCAGGTGGTTTTTCTCTTTGACAAACAAATTGGTCAAAATGGGTGTATTTAGAGACCAAATCAGGAATTCTTGCTAACATTGGACCTTCCCCAGGTCTGGAGCACATGGAGTATTTGACTAAGTCTGGTACTTTATGGATGTGTCTATTATCGGAGGCCTGAACGCACATCAGACCAGCTCCAGAACGCCACCTTCTGTTTTTGGCTAAACAGTCGTTGTTGGAGCACATGCCACATTCGACCTCCATAAAGCATGAGAAGGACCTTCAAACACAGAAAAGTCTCTCAGAGCATGGGAGGTATCTTTAGTCACAGAGGAGCCACCTCTTGGAGCATGGGAAATATCTCCGTGGTGGCATCTACAATGACGTCTCCGTGGTGGCGTCCATAGTGATGCTTCTGGAGCAACGACTGCTATGAAGACGAATCCTTGCCAGCTCCAGAGGAAACTGCTCCGGGCAAAAAAACTTCTCGTCTAGCGCTGGAGGGGAAGATTCCACGTCTTTAATTCCGGCCTTTCGAGTCTCCAAAGACTTAGGGAAGGGTTTCTAAGACTCCCAAAAGGTAAACAAAGGCTTTTAAGGGTTGGATTCTCCATCACCCATTTATTGCTTAGCCCAATTATTTTAAAACCCCCCAAGCGGGACTTAAAATCGGATTAGACTGAGAAACAAATAGGCTACGCAAGTTTCCCGAGGTGGCTTGGGTGCACGAAACGAGCCCAATAGTGTAACGGGATAGAATTATTAAGCCTAAACCCTTGTACAGGCCTTGTACAAAAACGACCATCAACACTAAACATATCCTTAAGAACACTAGAATCATAATTTGATTGTTTTTATTTCACTAAACATATCCTTAAGAACACTAGAATCATAATTTGATTGTTTTTATTTCCACTTGCTAATCAGTAAATAAGGGCATGACAACTTTATTTATACGGAGGAAATTTTAATCTCATGTTCGCTAGTCAAACTTTCATTAACTAAAGCACTTATTTTTCAACTTTTTTTCTTTTATGAAACTATGGTCCACTAATAACTAACTGTAACACCCCAAAGAATTAAACGAGATTAATTAAGGTAATTGAGATTTATTAGTGTGCCTAGTCTGGTTTAATTAATTGAGTATTGATTAATAAATGTTTCTGACGTATAACTTTAAATAATTTCAAGGTATTTAAATATTCTCAGTATTTACATTTTTACCCAGAAGTGTGTATGGGCACATTTATGTACTGTCATTTTAAATGTTTGACACATGTCCATTTCCTTTTTCTTTTTCCTTTTCCCTTTTTCCCTTCCTGTGTACTCTCTCTCTCTCTCTCTCTTCTTCTTTGTCGTTCTTCACACTCTCTCTCATTCTCTCTCGTTCTCTCACTCTCTCTCTCCCGTTTTTGTCTCAAGCCAACCGGATTTCAAACCAAAGAAGGATTTCAATAAGTTTTCAACGCCAAGAGAAGGATTCGAGGTAAGATTTCTAAAAAACATCTCTTGGAACTCAGATTTTCGGATTTAAAAACTTATTTTTGGTTTGAAATAGATTTTGATGGATTTTGAGTAAAACCATGGTAGAAATTGGATCTTGGGTTCTTTGGACTTGATTGAGTACCTAGAACCCGGATCTAGTGGTTTCCCTTTGAGATATCTCAATTTGGACTCATATTTACAGGTTTTTAGGCTGATTCTGCAGGTTTTCCTCACCCAACTGTTCTTCACAGGTCGACCTGTGCGGTCGACCGGACCTGTCGACCGGACTGCATTGAGTCCATCGGACGACCTATACGGTCGACCGAATTGCACACCACCAGTCGACCGGTGGTGTTGCACTGCGCTGTCACCGGTCGATCGGTGTACACGGGGTTTGACCCTATTTTGCCTGAAAATACTGTTTTGCCCTCAATTTTCGAGGAGAACCCAAATTAGCTTCATTTAGGGACTTAGAGTAGATGGATTAGCATCTTTAATCCATGTTTTGAGATTGAAATCCCTTGAAATGATGATTTGAAACATGAAATAGTTTGTGAAATCGGTAATTGAATTATGGCACACTAATAGGAAATCGAAGTGTATAATTGGTATTGAATTACTTTAGGAATGAGAATCGGATCCTAAAGTGTGGTTTTGTATCAGTGCTAGCTGAGGACTCGGATTGAGAGGCATAGAGGAAGCGAAAGCCAGAATAGTGTAACGCTAGCCAGGTTTGGTACTTGCGAGGTAGGATTTCTAACCCTTTCCTTTGTGAGCCTGTTTTCAAAAAGATTTTGGCCTTGCAAATGTTTTAAAGAAAGGGCATGTTTGCGAAAGAAAAACATTTTTATCCCCATGGCTTGTTGTAGATTCTGGGGAGTATAATGAACTGTTTCATAAGGTTTAATGAATGATTTCTTAAGATAAGAGATGTTGCAAATCGGTAAACCGGCTGATGGCCTAGATAGGATGTGGAGAGTGCATCCTGTTGGTTCCCGAATCGAATTCGGGTGCGGAAGCGTGGGGAGACGCGGATCGTCTATAACAAAAATTTTAGAAAAACTTTTGAGATACTCTATAGATTATATTAAATTATGCACGAATAAATTAATTGCATTAATTTACATCAAGAACTCAATCCAGAAAAAGACCTGGAAGCCGACTCGGATGATATCTTGAGTTCTTTGACCACGAATAGCCCTTGCTCCAAGCTTTGTATTTAGAATACCAAAGTCTTCCACGTCAATTCCTTGATTCCACGTAGACGTGTGTGTGGGCACACGTGAGACAAAACAGGTTTCCTAAACACTCGAATTTCCACAAACACCAACGCATGCACGATGTGGAATTTTTGGAGAAAATATTTTTGCTCTCTTTTTCCAATGAGAAATTCGGCCACAACTAATTTAGGGCTGAATAATGCTTCAAAAAATTGTGTCCACAATCTTCTATCATTCTCATATTTAAAGAGTAGAAGTCAAACTTCAAAACAGAATCAAATCCCTATCTCCAATTTTGAGTTTGGAACAAAAAAAATCCCTTCCCCTTATCTC